CTGCAGTTCCACAGCTTTGCCCCCCGCCCCCCCCTGGCCAAGCTGCCTGCTGCCAAAACAGCTGAGTGTGGCGGGGTGTCTATTTAAAGCACCCCCCCACCCCTCTGAGTCAGGGTAATATGACCCCTTCAGCTTCACCTGCTTTTGAAACTCTGCCCCAACCCGCTTCACCCTTGTGTTCCTCCTCCCGCTCCTCATGGCACAATGAAAAAGCTGGACCCTTTCAAATTGGACACCTCAGTGGCAGCAGGGGGGGGGCTCCGCACTGGACTGCAGCCCACCTTTACCCACAATGCACACGGCTCTCTGCTCCTGGCACTCTTGCCTGTCCCTTACCCTTTCAGACACCTTCTGGGCACTAAAGATACCCTCAGCTTAACATTGATTAAATGAGATGGAGAGAATGTGTGTGCAGAAGGTGCAGTGTGGCTGAAAGTGGAGATGCCTGACACATGGCGCCGGGATGTTCTTGTCAGTCTGCTTAAGGCGGGATCTGCTTGCACATGCTTGTGAGTGTATCGCCCCGCTGGTCTGTTTCTGAGCTGGAACACACAGGTCACTCCTGTCTTCATTTAAGGTGGGATCTTAGCGGAGAGTGAGATGCCTTTCCCCAGAACCAGGCTGCAGAGAACGTCTGCCTGGGGGTGCGGGTGATCCGGCAGGCAGATCCGCATTTTTTAAGTGTCAAAACACCAAAAACGAGACATGTTCACACATGTGGTTCACACTCCATGGCAGACTGAAGAAGGATGTGTTCTGAGAAGCTTACATCATCCATCCTTGCACCCATCTTCTGCTCTTCCCATTTAAGGCTATGACAAGGGGAACCTGACCCTTCCTTGGGTGGGGATACGGAGACCGATGTGGGGGGGGGGGGGGCACATGAATGGGAGTGGCTTCCATTTCAGGACTTCTGAAAAGATCTGGCCATGCACTGCCTCCCCCCTCCACACGCTGCTGCACTTTCACAGACACAAACACTCACACGGTTCTTATAAAGTTTTTCTTTTGGTTTTACAAGCTTATAAAGCAGCGGCATTCCAAACACAAGCAAGAAAGTCTGCAAGTCAACCAAGCTTCAGTGAAGAAATAGATTTTTAAGATGAATAAAAAAAACCCAAGTGACAAACCAATTTAGAATGAACCCCCCCCCCCGAGGATGCAGAATGTAAACTGAAAAGATATACTGTCCCATCTGGCATTTCTATTTACAATGAAGCTTGTGCACCTGCTTATGCTGTCACACACACACAGACATACAGACAGTCGTGTAATCATATCTTTTTGGGGACCACTCATTCATTTCTACAGGAAAAATGCTAATGCTAACTATGACGACCTTAACCGCTACCCAGCCCTAACCATAATCATAAGTAACCAAACAAAATACAAGAGTGTTTGCATTTTTAGTCTTTTCATTGCAGTCACAGATTTTTATAAAATAGAGTTTCCCCAAAAGGGAAAAAAATGGGTATTCATCACGTTCTGGGGACATTTGGTCCCCACAAGGTAAGGCATACCTGGACACACACACATTGGCATACCTATCTAAATGGGGCCCATTAATTTATCTCTATAGGAAAAACCCTAATCCCAGTCACGACACCCTTAACTCCTGAATTTTTACACAAAGGATTGAACCACGACCCATCCTTGTTTGAAGACTGAGCCTTTGATGGATGCTACTTTTATACCCAATCGTGATACCTCACCTGCTACCAATTAGCCTGTTTAATGTGGAGTCTTCCAAACCAGTGTTACTGGAATATTCTGTGCACCAGTGTGTTGTAGCCATCAAATTCTAACTTTGCATATATTTACAAAACACAATTAAGTTGATCAGTAAAATTATTTAAAAAAATTTATTTGTACTTTTGTCAGTTAAATATTCACATGAATTAACAAATCTCAGATTTTTGTTTTTATTACATTTTAGAGAATATATCAACTATTATGGAAATGGAGTTTGTATTTTTATGGGAGGTCTCCATTCATCTCTATAAGAAAAACCCTAATCCCAACTATGACACCTTTAACCATCCAGAACTAACCTTAACCATGTTACCAAACAAAATACAGTGGTACCTCAGAACTCGAAATTAATCGGTTCATAACTCCTGATCCAATCCTAAAAAGTTCGAGTTCTGATCGAATTTACCCCATAATAAATAATGGAAAACCAATTAATTGGTTCCCAGCCCCAAAAAATTACACCGAAATATGTTTTTTTTTAGCATTTAAAAAAATTAATCGGACAAAAAAAGAAAAGCATATACTGTACTAAACACATCTAAGCAAATTTATCAAAACAGTAATTTTTAAAGTAAGAAAATAAATGTATCCAAACAATGAGTAAAGTTTAAAAAAAAATTAACACTGTGTCATGCCCCAATCGTCAGCTCCTTCCGTGTGCCACGCCCCCTCGTTAACCCCGTGTGGAATCCTTGTGTGATCAGCTGTTTCTGGTTGTTGTCATTAGTCCTCTGTATTTAGTCCGCATTTCAGTTGGTTTCCCCAGTCTGGTCATTGTATTGTCCGTCTGCATTTTTCCTGTTCCCCGCTGGGCACGACAATATTATTATAATTAAATGTATTATTGGTTTATTATTTAAATGATTAATAAGTATTCTTTATTTTTCAATGTATTTTATTATATAATAATTGCTGTTACTGTCTATCATTGTCTAAATGTATTTTACTGCCTAAATATATGTATTCAGCTAGTGTAAACATGCTATCACAGCGAATGAGAGGCTGAGACTGAAGCGTTACCCTTTGTTTCCGCTGAGAGACGTGCCGCGTGACTCATTTTCCCACGCGTACATGTTATCCTAGGTCGGCGTTCAGGGTTTGACTTCTGAGATTCAGATCGATTTCTAGGTAATTTTTTTTTTTAACTACTTTGTTCGACTTTTAAGAAATTCGAGTTCTAATGAGTTCGAGAACTGAGGTACCACTGTACAAGACTTTTTGATTTGGATTTTTAATTTTTTGACACAGATCCTCGGGTTTTAATAAAACAGAGGTTAGCCTTGTGAGGACCAAAAAAATTGTCCCCACAAGGTTAAGAGTTACAGGTTTTTAATCACATTGCGGTCCCCACAATGTAAAAATAAAACATAAAACAGAAGGACGATCTTAACATTAGCATGGAATTCCCTGAGTCCTGGAGAGCTCCCTTTGGAAAAGCAGGTAAGAAAATAAAACTCCAACAGAAGCAAGGGTCCTTTTCTTTCCTGGTACATCTGTGTGAGTTAACAATTCATGGTGATGGAAGATAGTCTGGAAACAGAGAAAGAGAAATAAATAAAGGTCCTTTGGATTCAGTGGGTCATGCGGCATGGAGATTCCTAAGGAGTCATGAGTACACTTGAGTACCCCTTCCACATTATTTTTTAAACAGCCTGATCTGAAGGCCAGACATCCTCCAGAGAGGCAGAACTAACCTTGAAGCTTAGGTGGAGGTTGTTCGGCTTTAATCAAGTTGCTCTGTGACATTGAGTCTACCAACCAGTTGAGGGCTCTACAGCAATACTCCAACTGCAACAGAGGACATGCGTCACACAGATGGTGGCCAGCAGAGCAAAGTGTCACCATCCACAATTGGCCAGTCCAATTTGCGTTTAGGATATACATCAGAGAACAGGCATGCTGACCTCAGACTCCACCTGCCTCAGCCTCCGGTCATGATCCCGCAGGTCGGTCACATGCTTCAGCACATTGTCCACCCTACACACGGAAACACAGGCTGGTTACAGCACAGCACAGGTTCGGAATGCACGCTGTGGCGACGCGTGATGGAGGTCTGCCGTTACTTTGTGGACGTCCGCTTGAGCCGCTCACTGTCACAATCTTTCTGCTTCTTGCTCTGCGTGACCAGAAGGTTCTCCTTCTGGATGGCTTCCCAGGTATGGAGCTGGTTGGCCGCCAGGCTGTTGAGAGTCAGCTCTGGGGACATGGGGAAAACAGCAGGCGTCACTTGGGTGGTGCCGACACAGGGTATGCCCTGCCCCCCCCCGCCCAGCTCACACAGGTTGCAGGCCACTCACCAAAATGCTGGACTTTCATAGAGGGGACTTTCCGGATGTGTCGTTTGATGAGGAGGTTGAGGTGGGACAGCAGGATGAAGGGCGGTGCTAGTGAAGGCCTGGAATGGTACTCTGCTATCAGATTGAAACGCTGGAATTTCCAGTAGATGTCACTATTCTCCTGCACCTTGGAGAATGTATAACTGGGGAAAGGCAATGGGGAACCCAAAATGAATGTCAGTCATTTATGACAGACACCAGT